AGTTTAGTGACCTTAAAGCAAGATCAGTGCTTTAGACAAGGGACAAAGATTACAGGAGCTGCTATAATATATACCACAGATCACTGCACAGAATAGGTAATGACGCATTCATCTTTTTCATTACAATTTGTAAAGCATTGTATTATCTTGATATGATGAATAGTTAGAACACCTGTAACCTATAGTTAGAAAAGGCAACTGTAGTATAGAGCAGGGAAGGCACACTTTAAGGGACAAAAAATACAGGAGCTGCTATAATATATACCACAGATCACTGCACAGAATAGGTAATGACGCATTCATCTTTTTCATTACAATTTGTAAAGCATTGTATTATCTTGATATGATGAATAGTTAGAACACCTGTAACCTATAGTTAGAAAAGGCAACTGTAGTATAGAGCAGGGAAGGCACACTTACCAATGCACTGCTATATATTATACAGCAGGTAAGGAAAAACTGAGAAAAAGAAACAGGCTAAAGTTTGAAATTGACAAATGTTCTCCCGGGCATTTAGATCTGTAGCACTTTGAATTCAATGCTCTAGCATTTAATCATAAAATAATGCGCCAATTTTATTGATGAGAGTCTCAAACTGCTGGAGCAGAACATTTTTTATGATGTGAAGAATAAATTAAGAGTTGAGGATCCTAGTATTAAGCTACCTAGAAATCACTTTTGTCTAGTTTATGTTCAGATATTTATTGCAGAATGTGCTAAAGAGAAAAAAAATTAATCACCTACCTGCATTCAGCAAGAGAAATTGTTTGTGCGTCATTTCCACAGGGAATCTTTTAGCACTCAGCGTAAATGCATTGAGGGTAGGTGACCTCCTAGGGTAGTGTCCCAGCATTGGACATCAATTAGAAAGGGCTCTGGTGCTCCACATAACTAAATTTAAAATGTATTGGAAGCCAGTTCTACTTTTCCACACTAACACACTGAGTTTCCCTGACAAAATAAGCCTACAGATGGCACTGCAGATGCCACTACAACATGAAGGTGGGAGTGTTGATTTGTTTAATACTGTAGTTGTCAAATACAACAAAACAATAACTTAATAACTTAATAACAATAACATAAAAATTGGAAAGCATTTTTACATTTATGTAAAGTTGTCAGTCTATGATCAAAAAAAAAGCATGGCTTTTATTAAATCAGTGCGCCAAATAAAAGCCTTATTTATATACAAATGTATTCGGGTATGCAAATTAGTTATTGATGCTGTTGGTCATGATTAGCTAGGTAAACTACACAACCAATATTATTCTTATACTTCGCTTAGTAGTGCTTACACTAGTTCATAGTTATCTTATTTGTGGCACACATGCTGCAGATAAAGACTGCTAGTAAGAGGTTAAATTGCTCATTACAAGAACTAACGTAATCCATCTTTCTCATAAGTGTCCCATGACTGTTTCTCAGTCATATCCAGATTCCTAGTTACTGGCAGACACCAAGGGCCATCTCAATACCTCTATTGCTGCAGTGTGGTTGGAAGGTTATGCAGAAAATGTAAAGAGGGGAGGAAAAGTGTTATGGGGAAGAGGATGCCCTTTCTTATCAGTGAGGTGCCTTTAGAGAATGAAGGCTGCTGAACTTAGGGTCTTCCTGCAACCTGTTCAGCCACATACATGGTTTGGAACTGATTATTATAGGTTACAGGTGTTTGGGTTCTGACTATTAGTGTGGATAATGTGTGTCAAATGCACTCTGCATTGTGTATTGGGTGCTTTGTGAAGTGTACACTGAGGTACATGGTGGGGAGTGCAGAGAGCATGCTTCAGTGTCCCATTTTTGGTTGAACCAGAAGGCCTAGCTTACATGGATGGTAAAAGGGTTGCCCTTTTTTCATTTGATCACCTGACCCTTAAGAATTCACTGCACATCTCTGCCAAATCAAAGCTGTGCTTCCAATGACATTAAATGTAAGTAGTGATAGTAACTAAATAATGACAATCTGCAATTTGCATATTTTTGATTCACCTACTTTATTCTGCCCACAGTTTATTTACTAATGTTTTATTACTAATGAATAACTTCCCCAAAATAACACATTTCTTGTGGTGAACCTAAACTCAAAATTTAGCTTCAAGTTGGAATGGCATTAGGGGGGTTTGGTATATTTCAATGACCAAAACACTTACCTGTCCAACATAATATTGATATCCTGTTGTGCTTTAGTTCTGTGTCCATTCTAATCATTTAAATAAAATAAAAATTTTGAGCTGGAGTATGATTTAGGACTGCTATAATGTCTTGGAGTAGCCTCAGCTAGACATATGTTATGGGATAGGGATGTCGGGATATCAAGGTGTACAGGCATAGATTAGAGAGAGATTTCCCTGTCAATAGAAGAGATAAAATATATAAAAACTTTGTATTTCCATTGATGTGTTGTATGATTTTTATTGTTTTTAAATTTAAGATAAAAGAATGGCGTAGAGAAGGGGTTTAACAAATCACCAATGATAAGCCTTTAAACATGACTTTTCATTTACTCTTTTACACAATTTAACACTAATATTGCATTTGATGTATATCACATTTCTGCTAAAAAAAAACAATGTGTCTTTCAATGCTTGGGCATAACATACAGAATCTAAGTGAAAATCTCTACCATCATGCAGTGGCTCTTAAAAAAAGTAAAACACTATATGTATGATTCTAGTGGCAGCCACATGATCTCACTACCATGTTTCTATACTTCTTTAATATAACATTAGAACTGTCATCAAAATACAAGACAGAGATTCCCTGCAGATCTGTAGGAGCACAACATGGCTTTGGAACAGTCTCAGGATTAATAAAGTGAACTAAGGTTTGGACAATTGCATGATTAGTGGCATTCATGTAAGAATTTAGTGGAAAAGCACATTCCCCTTCACAGTAGTAAGCTGCGTATCCTTCTGGGGCAATTATCCAATCTTGCCAGCCAAGGTCACGGAAACTCACATATAGCTCATGCTTCTTGCAGGCCTGTTTAAAGAAACGACGCCCACTATTACTACTGCTGCTGCTCATAAAGCTCTCTGTAATATTGGCTAATGGAAGGTTGTGCTCCTTTACTGCCTTTTTATCTTGGTTTCTGTGTTTACCGCTTGTAGAACGAATACTACGTGGATGAATTGTTGCAGTTTTAAAAAATGCCACCATAAATGGTCGCTTCTCCTGTGGTCCGCTCCTACCAACTAGACCCACTGATCGAGGTTTAACACTTTTCCTTTGCATAGTTTCTATTCTCAGTTGTAGACCAAGATTGTCCCGTGAATTATCTACCCAATCATTGCTAGATGCAGTAATGTCAAATGTCAACCATCCACTTTCTGCACCACTTATTATCTGGCTGTCCAGCTTTAACAATTGACTAGGATGCTCCTGAAGGACCTGGTAGATGCTGATCTGATAGGTTTCATTTTGGTTAGTTGGATCTTTATACATGCGCAGCTCAGCTGCTGTCACTTGCTCCCCAACTGGAACATCAGAAAGATCAAACCTGAACTCTTTGCTGTAGCACCGGTGACAGAATTTTGTGTCATTCTCCACTAGGTTAACAAAACTCATGACAAAATCAGCATCAGCATGAAAGTGGTTCTCATGAAGGTGGACAAGGGAAGGATGATCCTTGGCAAAAATATTAAAGTACTGTAAACCATCTTTCTCTTCACTGATACTTATTGAATTATATAGATTCATCATGAATATTGGTGCAGATGTATTCTTCCCATGTAAGTGAGGTCTTGGTCTATGTGGCAATCCCAAAACAGATAAAATCTCTCTCTGTATCTCTCTACGTTCTTGGCCCTTCAGTTGACGCTGGATAAAGCTGGAGTGAATATCCTCTTCAACCATTATATCTGATGTTATGTGTTGAATAGAAAAGTAGAAAAATAATATGTAGGTTCTTCTTTTGTAGCCAGTCCCAACAGTCATTTCCACAGGGTCTTACTGAAAAGTAGAGAACATGCAATCAAAAATCCTATGAAGACATACTGTACAATTTCAAGTAATGTGGCTCATTAAAAATGTAACTTTTTCAGAACAGATATCCCAGTTTTGTTGGCATATTTAGGGCCTGTATTGATGGGCTTTTGTTCGCTTCAAACAGTTTCTGCATTTAATACAAATCAATAGAAATGCAAAACCTGCTCTGGCTTCAAAACTTTGATTAACCGACAAGTATGCAGAGCAAGGTGTCTGATTTGCATACTTCTTCCAGGTCAGTCAGAATTACTGTTACAGAAGTAGCACTTACAGAAGGGAGTTAACAATGGCAGCCCTCATGTTTCTCTCATGACTGGTTTCTCTCAGACATCCCACCAGGGGCATCCTGGTGATGGACACCGGCAGAGAGAGGAGGGGACAGTCACCCGGCGGGATAAGGTATGCCGCCAGGTCCCCTCCTCTCTTCTGATACTGTTGGGCGTTCGATCCATGACCGAGCGCCTGACTTTTCAGAGGGGGGTGACAGTCCTTTTGGTGTCACCCCTCCAATGGTGTCACCCGTGTGCGGGCCTCATCCCCCTTGTGACGCCACTGCATCCCACCCCTCCTGTGTCCTTATGACTATATGCTAAGCTGTGATTTTACCAGCAATGTTTTTTTTTGTGAGAGCTTGAAAATACCTTATTATATATATATACACATACTATACATATACTGTATATTATACATACACATTTATACACACAATTTCATTTTTTTTATTTTCCTCACAGCTATTTTGTACTGATTTGTTATATCAGTTTAGCTTTTTACATTTTTTAAACAATGAGGGGGATTTATCAAAACTGTAGCAGAGAATGTAGAGTTGAAGCAACAATTTCCCTGTGTGACTGCTTAAAGCTGAACTTTAGGTATAAATATTTATGTATGTATATATTTATGTAAATATTTATGTATGCTTACATTGTTCCAGGTTGGCCAGCATAAGTATACATATTTTATAATAGGTAGGGCCATTATAGTACTTTACTGTGATCATCTGGGTCTTGTATGGCTCTGTACGGAGTAGCTTCCCCTCTGAAAACGCAGAAGTGCCCAACCAGAGAATGCCTAGTTTTCCTTGATAAAAATACTAGGCGTGTGCTTAATGGCTGATATGCGGAGCAAGGGACCCTCTGTGTTTTCACAGCAGAGAAGTTACTAAGCACAGCACAGCACAGCATCAGAACCTGGAGGATTGCTGTAAATCACTTTAGTAGATACAGCTACTACAGCATTTTACAGGATCCCCATGGCCCTACCAGGCACAAAATATGTATATTTACATTCAAACAAACTTGATCATTGTAATTATACATAAATATTTATGCCTGGAGTTCAGCTTTAACCTGTGAATGGTGTGAGATTCAAACAACCTATGTTATGGCATGCTCTTGTAATTTTATAAAAAGGAAATAGGTGAACATGCCTGCACATGTAAGATTATATGACTTCATCAGTGAACATCATTATCCTCCCACCAGCAACTTTCCGGTTAATATACAGAAATACACAAATGTCATTCCTATATAAAAGTAAAAATGGAAATCCTAGTCTGCCACATGTTAAACATATGCATGTTTGTTCCTTATTCAGTGGTTGTAGTCTAAATAGAAATCACTAATCATTTTAAACTACAGAGCCTAGATCTCTATCATTTACTAAAAATGTTGTTACAGTGCATCCCCCACCACCCCCTCATTGCCTCTTGATGGACACAGAAGGACGGCTTCCATTGGTTAAGGTGGAAAGAGCTGCACATTGTTTATAAATGACTGAATCCTTCTATATGTGTAACCATTGGACCCATGAGGGGCCTCATAAACAGTGTTCTATTTATAAAAAGGATTGATTTTCTGAAATTGTGTTGCGAGTTATTTGGCCAATTTAAATGCAAACAATCCTTTGAGTTTAAATATTCTTTTTTTCATTCAATGAAAAAGTTTTCGTCTTTGTAATGTCTGGTCTTCTGTTTGACACATCGTTCATAGTGCTGTGTCCCAAATTTAGCTAAACTACTAGGAAAAAGACATTGTTCACATAATCTGTAAACTTCAGTGAGATTCCCAAGAACATTATTTGGGCTTCAGTGCTTTTTGTGCCCGTGTATTTTCACATCCGCATCTGTTGCCTTGAACTGCAAATTTGATGTCACAACCACAATACTGCTTTTATGACTAAACTGAAAACATCAACATCTGTTCACACATTACTGGGAAGAGCCAACATCCGACGGCTAATCACAAGGCCTGGAATCCTTGTGCATTCAGAAGCAAAGTATTTGCACATTGCATCTCATTAAAATAAATTCCCATGGAGTTAGGAGCTGTAATGTATCTCTTTGTGCTATTTTTCCCTTGGCCTCTCTATTTCCATGATCCTGTAATCCACCCAGTAAAGGAGTAAGATCATGCGAGGTTTTAAATGAATGAGCCAGTGACCTTGACTACACAGCTCAGTTTATTCCTAAATCTTCAATTGTACAGAGTCATACTCAAGCTTGTGTGTAGTGGAATGGCTTTATAATGTTTCAATAGCCATTTTTAGAGGGAAACATAATGTTGGGGAAAAAAAGAATTCAATCACTACTAAACAATTTGCTTACTGTCAACACACTTAACTTAAATTATAATCAAAACAGAATTTTGCAAATATATTTTTAGCTACTTCTGTAAAGTTTAATTCCTACTCAACTTTCTCCTAGCAATTGTGTGTGTACAAGACAGATAAACCTGTTCGCTTATACACAAACATGAGTATCTTATGTAATCAGAGAAAAAAAATACAGTTAACTAAAGTGTATGTTTAGTCAAATATTTTTTCTAGTTATAAAGTAGGATGAGTTAAAACCCCTATTTTTTTGCTGCCTCCCCCTAATTAGGGAGATTTCTCTGCATGTTCTATCCCAGAGACACAACAGGAAATGAGGAAATGGTGATCACTGTACAATTTTGGATTTCCCAACACTTTCTGCCTCAGTTACACTGGCTAGCATGAAAACAGAAGGCAAATCTAAATTAAAAAGGATGCAAAAAGCAATTAAAACTTGCCAAAGTGTTTAACTCTTACGCACTAGATCCAAAAAAAAACAAAAAACTTTTGGCAAGACAGATCAGGAGTAAGCAACCTTGACACCCCAGCTGTGGTGAAACTACAAATCCCATTATCTCACCTTTCAGTGTTTACAACGGTCTCAAGTAAGTATGCAATTTGCCTCATTATTTGCTTTAAAAAAAAGCCATGGAAAATATTTATTGGTTTTATTTTTCGATCTCCAGTTCAGTTATCATTATTTAGTCCCGGACTTATGATATCCACAGACAGACAGATTTATAAGAGTGATGGGAGATAAAGATCTGTCCCATCCTTCTGACTTGAACACCACCAGGATCTGCTATGGCATTTTTACTCAATTGGTCAGTTTTTGCACACATCAGGATGAGAGGTACTTTTCATTGATCCACCAAAAACATATTACCATTTTTTATTAATACTGAAGCGCTTAACACAGTGTGATAAAGGTCCTACTCTGTGTGATGGATGTGTAGTTTATTTTAAAAGTACAGAGAATACAGCAGGAGGAGGAAGACCTTAAGGGGTAGGTACACCCAAAACTCCCAGGTGGCCGAAACAGAACTAGGAACTATGGCAGGGAGATTTTGCCAATACATGATACATAAAGTCAGTGGTTGAGATGGCCTGTAAAAGAAATGTGTTTTTCAATAACTTTACACTTGTAATGATAAGGCATTGTTTACATGTTACATATGCAGGTAGCAATCAGTTTGTACTTTGCTTTGAGTCCCATCCAAATTATACATAGAAATACATTCATACATATAAATTATATAAGGGAAGAGACTATAATATAAAACATTCACTATTATAGATATCACTTTACGATATAGTATCACAAATCAACACATTATACAGTATATACACTATTTATTAGAATGATTTACTACACTAGGGGTCTCTCCCCTTTTTATATTTATTTATAACATTTATATTTATGTATTTCAATTAGGAATAATATATTAATTAGTATAAAGTAGCACTCCTAATATTAGTCAATTCTTAGTATGAACTGGATTAGTAATTTAAGGCCATTTACTATTAAAATTTTAAGATGTAAATATCATTGCAAATCAGGAGAATGATTATGATCATACAATTAATATTGACTAAAATAAATGTAACTCAAAATATTTTTAACTAGTATAACTGGGAAGAATAGCCTTTATTATAAATTAAGTTATGGATATTATGTATAATATAAGGGCTATGTGTGAGTTTTGATACTGATTGTTAAGGAACTGTTAAAAAATACTAATAAAAACTGATTCAACACTAATATAAGGGCTATGTGGAAATCACATTTTTTTTGTGTGTACTTATGATGTTATATGTAATAAATGGTGATTGTCTGAAACATTAACATATTAGACAAAAACAAAAATACATTCGGACAGTAAAATATAAAATTCATACAACAATTAGTCATTACTTTTGCATATGGTAGTGGTGGGACCGAAGTACAAAATTAAAGCAACTTACAGTATATTCACAAGACACCCAGGTTCCTGTTAGACAAAGTAGGTGTGGGTGTTTGATCAAATGTTACTGCAGCAATATAACACAGGGAGTTTGTTTTAGAACACACCATTGTGTGCCTGGGGAGAAAGTGGTTTAGGGTTAGGCTGAAGTGGAAAAGAGATGCGGTTTGAGAGGAGTGCAGTACGCAGCCAACGGAAAGAGAAATAGAGAGAATAAATAGAATGATAAAGGGGAGGGTAAAGATGTATTACGATGGACCTTAGGATAATGTAAGAAAATGGGGTGATTAACACAAATAATATGAATATTATTAAATATCCACATTATCAACACCCACTTCTTCCTGTTCAAGAGGGGAAAGGCCGCTAAGAAATACACAAATTAGGTTTAAA